TTAATGATTGTTTATGCTTTCCGTTCATTGGATGAACTGATAAACTGATCATACTATTGATTTTGCTACAGTAAATTCTGAAAATAATTCAATTATTAATTATTGATCATAATCCGTTATGAATAATAATTAATTATATTTATACGTGCGTATAATCGCTACAGGAGAAAATGATTAACCTCACAATAAAAATGAATGTGACCATGATGGTTGTTGATCAAGTTTTTCAGGGAACAAAGAAACAACAATTCTGTTTGTTTCACACAAAGTGATCATGTATTCAGAAGACTTCAAATTTAGTGCATGATTCATATGGACCACTTGTATGATGCTTTATGGTTCTTTTTTTGTCCTTTTTGCATTCTGACAGTCCCCAATCCCTTTCATTGTATGGAAGAAGGGAGCTTAGACATTTTGATAAACGTCTACCTTGGTATTCCACAGAAGAAAAACATCCTACAGCTTTCGAATCACACAAGTGTGAGTAAATGATGAGAGAATGTTCCTTTTTTTTTAGGTGAAATCCTTTTAACGCTGGTGCTTAGTGGGCGCATTAGTTTCCTTGAACTGCGTCAATATTGCATCTTTGAATCTGGAGGTGGTGACACATGCATTGCCCTCCTTCGGAATTTGCACCTTATTAGCATCCCAACTGTTCAGCCACCCTTACGTGAGCAGATAGATGAATTTAGTTTTGGAAGGGAAGATTAATAAAAAAACAAATTATAATAAAACGAAGAGCAGAAATGCTGCATGAACATGGACCATAATTCTACTTTCCTTTCTGATCAGCCACTATACCTCTATTTCTCTTGAGCTTTTTTGTTAAGATATGGGTACATTATAGGATTGCAAAGTTAGCAGATTTTGCCAGAACAGTTATAGTACCATTAAAAATGCTCTGAAATTATCTTTGATAAGACAGCAGAAACCACTGAAAAATTAAAACACAGCCCGCGTACTGACCTAACCTGCCATGTTCATGTACTGTTAATCACACATGTGATTCAACAATCTGGATGTGCATGGGAAAATAAGGATTAATTCCTGTTGAGTTCCCCTGTTTGAATGAAAACCCATGCATACTGATTCAGTGCATCATTAATGCAATGTCCCAGGTGTGCATGCGTGGAGCAAATACAGTAAATCTAAGCCAGGGTCATATAGAGACCTTCAACACGCTTCAAAGTCAAACCTGTGGGATCAATCAGTTTGATGTTACAGGATGGCTACTATCAAGAATATGAACAAGAAGAATAAATGAAACTTTCTCTGTGCAGAATCAGATCATCACATATGTACATTTTGGAAATTATTATTAGAATTTAATGAATGTATTTAAAGCAGTACATAAATTCATATATGTCTACATCTGCCAGCCCAGAAAGATGTATATAAATGTATGTACAGTACTATTGTCAGATCTATTCCTTAAAAAGAGTCCTATGGGTAACACTTTACTTGAAGGGGTGTACATAAGACTAACATGACACCTTCATAATCATGACATGACACATGTTATGAATATGAAGGAAGTTTTATGCATGTTTGTGACAACTGTCATTAAGTGTCATTCGCTCAATTATGACATTTTTAATGCAAATATGACATTGTTTGAGATGTCTTTGTTATGACACCTTGACATAAACCAATACATCATAACCTGTCAGTGTCTTTGTCATGACAACTTGACATTACTAAGACAACACAACCTGTCATAAACATGACATAGCAGATTAATTATCAAACTTAAGAAACCACTTAGCTTTATTGGTTAACATTACATTAAACTGTCAGGTGGTTGGTTTTGACATTGGCTGTCATGAAGCCATTATAACTGTTTAATGACAAATTCAATTTGTACCACTGTAGTTGAGGTCACGAAAAATATTCATGACACCGTTATAATGGCCTTATGACAGCCAATGTCAAAACCAACCACATGACAGTTTAACTTAATTTAATGTCAAGTTGTCATGACAAAGACACTGACAGGTTATGATGTTATGGTTTATGTCAAGGTGTCATAACAAAGACATCTTAAACAATGTCATATTTGCATTCAAAATGTCATTAATGAGCGAAAGACACTTAATGACAGTTGTCATAAACATGCATAAACCCTACTTCATATTCATGACATATGTCATGTCATGGTTATGAAGGTGTCATGTCAGTCTTATGTGACAGTCTTATATTCCCTTCAAGTAAAGTGTTACCGTTCTATGTAATACTTTATTTATTTATTTTATTTTTTTGAAAAAGTGTCATTGCTCCAGCTGTGCATTTCAGAGATGATTTTCACCTCTCAAAATAATCATGTTTCAGAGCATCTCATACAGAATGGAATAGCTGAAATGAGTTCTCTAGAGACCGGCTATTTTTCTCCATCCCTAGTCTCTATGTGTCTCAAGATGCTCTTGGTAGAGACAGTCACAAGTTGCAGCTGAGGCCCCACACTGTTTGCATATGAAATATTCATCTGTGTTTTAGGCCTGCACTGATGGAGCCTCTAAGCCTGTTCCAAGCAGATGGTCCCTATTAAGGAATATGAGCAGGAATGTTTTCCTCCCCCCTTTAAAGTTTTCACACTCTGCCTGTGATTGTTTGACTGTGTTATTGCTGTTCCTCATTTCTGTAGATGTGTTTGATTCAGTTAAGTTTGGAGGAGGAATAGGCAAATGTCAAAATTGAGGAGCCATCACACCCTCAAAAATAAAGGTTCTATAGGTCTTTTAAAAAAACTTTCATCCTATCAAAAAAATATTTTTGACTGTATGGAGACTACCAGCAACAGTAACTGGTTTTCAAAAGAAGTAGATAATAAAACATTCAAAATGCCAACTTATTAGAACTTTATTACCAGAGAATATTTTATATACAGTATTGTTTTTCACAATATAAATGGGTCTTTATACATGAAAATATATAGCTGTCCCGTCTTTAAAATTTAGGTGGTTCCTTGCTATGAGATCTTTATATTTGGAGGTTCATAGCATAAAAAAGTTTGAAAAACCCTACTTTATGGAATCTTTATTTTTAAGAGTATAGATCAAGCAAAATCATTTAATGAGGACGATTTTCAATCCATTTCAAGGATTTCATTCTACACAAAAAAAGCCAATCACTATTCAAAATTTTCTCTCTCATTATTCATATCAAAATCTTAGTCATAGTGCCAAATGTAAAGACAGCAAAAATATCAATTATAAATTTGTACCTCTCAATAAAGACATGAGGGAACATTTAATTTCTGTTTTTGTCACTGTATATGAACACTGTGAGATCAGGTCATATTCCATGGAACCCCAATATGGTTTAGCCTTTATAGTCCCTTGAACAATACTAATCCTTGATGACAACTTAGAGATTTTCAATTGAATTCCCTGACTATGAACAAGAGAGGAAAACCCTCTTTAATGTATTCTCAATTCAGCACTCTCTCAGTAACATAAACGCTTCAGGTTCTCTATGCGCAAAGAAAAGCTTTATAGATGGAAGCATAAAAGTTTTAGGCAGAGCAGCAGTGAGGCCGTGTCCTTGCTACACTCTTCCATCTACTCTCTCTGTAAATTTTTAATAAAGGCAGGTTTTTACTATACATCTTGTCTTCTACTGAGATACAGTTTAGTTGAATGTTCTTCTAACATCCACAAACTATGAGACAATGATTCACACAATTAAAGCACCAATCCTCAGAATAAAAGCTCTTAATGTCTTGACCAAAGGTCATGTAAAAGCATGTAAGTACACAACAACCCTGTATCACATGAAATACGTTCTGGGTTGGTACACAAACATACCATTCAAATTTTTATTGAAAGATATTAATACTTTTATTTTTCCAAATTCTTTTTCAAAAGCAGCGTTCAAATTAAAACTGTAATATATATATATATATATATATATATATATATATAGTATACACACATGCACTATAATAGAGAAAAAATAGAAATATAAAAATGAGAATTATTCCACAACTTTTCTTATTACGTAAATTAACAGATAATGATTATGTCAGTATATTTAGCCACTGCAAGACTTCCACCTTAAATATAAATATAAAATGTTCATTAAATATGGAATATATAAGTTAAATATTAAATGTGTAAAAAGATGTTTGACTTAACTGCCAACATTCATTCATCGTATGGCTTATCAGCTTACAAAATCAGCTCCAATATACAGATACCTGAAACAGAAATGCACCACTGATCATGATGGAATATTTTATTAATAGAGTAAAAAAAAGAGACATTACCCATGTTTTATGATACTGATGTTAGAGTGCCTGGGCCCAAGAAAGGGAATCCCCTCATGGATTTTGCTTAGCATTACTCAACAAAAACGGCATCATCAGACGATCAATAGCTACTGAAAAACATTCAGATCCCACAACCTGGCTGTAGCATCAAGGAAAAAACCTTCACAAGAACTTAAGAGGAAAATGCAGATGCTCCATCAAATTAAATAATAGAAACTTTGAACACTGGGGCATGTATATCAAAAAGCCTCTATGGCAAATTCAGGGTCAAGAAAGGGAGAGGAGCAGTGGAAGGGAGGAGGAGCTCTCCTTTTCCCTATCCGATGTAAGAATGACAGGAGAAGGGAGGAAACAAGGGGAGGGGAGTGGACAAAAACTGGCTTAGGGACAAAAACCTCCAAAACCTGTGTTTGAACAGTAGCTGAGAGGAAGATCTAGACATAATGTGACTCACTTTGACTCCCAGAGCACCTGGGGTTACTACTGCTTTATTAAGCCCCCTTTCCCACACAACCATTCGCCCACATGCGAACATCCAGGAGTTGTAGAGAGGGACCTAGAAGTAGTTACATCTATTTTTGGAGTGCTACGATCACCGTTTGACTCCATCCTAGATGCTAAAAGGACAAAAACAGTTGGGATTTGGGCTCACAGAATGAGTGCTATTGCCACTGAGGACCAGGACATGTTCTGTGAGAAGGCAGTGGCCCTTATCGTTGACCTCTGCCTGGATGACAGCCCTCTCCTAGACTCAGAAACCTGTCAGGATTTCCTTGTGCTTCTGACCAGTGAAAACCCCAACATATCCAGTTCAGGTAAGTTTCCTGCAGTGTTTGTTGGGAAGCATGTTTGTTGGGGGTGACGTGGGTTAGGGGTGACGTGGATGCTTATGTTTATCTGCGTATATGCGCGAGCTTGAGGTAGGACTTCAAAGGATCGTGACCTTTTAGATATGCCCATTTTTTGTTCGATTAACACCAAGGTAACAGACTTTTTGAAAGTAAGTTCTGTATAAATAATGAATTGCCATTAGTTACCCGGCACTTTTTTATTTCCCTAATGAGCCTGCTTGTGTTTGATGTTGTTTTCAACTAAATAAGGATGCTACTCATTGGCGATTTAGATCATTTGTACCCGTGGAACCTCCTTTTTTTCCTCTAATGACAAGTGCACAATTAAGCTTAAGTTGGAGAAATTTCATTGATGTGCTTTATAGAAAGATGGATGCAAGTGTTTTACAACGCACCGCTCCAGACTACAGGTTCACAGCAGCCACACAAGGTAAAATTGACATGAAATTGAATTTTGGACACAAGATCGAAGGAGCTGTGATATCTCAAGAGTTGGCAGGTGATAGGAATGTCTAAAGCAATACAAATTATAATAAATTTCATATCTGGCAAACTGCCATGGAGGAGGACATAGAATCTAATTGTCACTCTGAGTTTCTGTCACAGGAGAAATCAAATAAACACCGCAGGCCCTGACCTGCATCATGTCCCCAACCACAAGGATAGTGAATGCCACTGTGTGTTATCCACAAATAAACACGAATCACTGACGCCACAGAACAGCTCTAATGCCAGCTCTTTAATAATGCAGAACTTCTGAAGTAATTTAAATGCATATACAGTATACACACACACACACACACACACATATATATATATAATAAAAAAATATATACTGTATATATATATATATATATATATACACTCACCTAAAGGATTATTAGAAACACCATACTGTGTTTGAGCCCCTTTCACCTTCAGAACTGCCTTAATTCTACGTGGCATTGATTCAACAAGGTGCTGAAAGCATTCTTTAGAAATGTTTACCCATATTGATAGGATAGCATCTGCAGTTGATGGAGATTTGTGGGATGCACATCCAGGGCACGAAGCTCCCGTTCCACCACATCCCAAAGATGCTCTATTTGGTTGAGATCTGGTGACTGTGGGGGCCATTTTAGTACAGTGAACTCATCGTCATGTTCAAGAAAAAATTTTGAAATGATTCGAGCTTTGTGTCATGGTGCATTATCCTGCTTGAAGTAGCCATCAGAGGATGGGTACATGGTGGCCATAAAGGGATGGACATGGTCAGAAACAATGCTCAGGTAGGCCGTGGCATTTAAACAATGCCCAATTGGCACTAAGGGGCCTAAAGTGTGCCAAGAAAACATCCCCCACACCATTACACCACCACCACCAGCCTGCACAGTGGTAACAAGGCATGATGGATCCATGTTCTCATTCTGTTTACGCCAAATTCTGACTCTACCATCTGAATGTCTCAACAGAAATCGAGACTCATCAGACCAAGCAACATTTTTCCAGTCTTCAACTGTCCAATTTTGGTGAGCTCTTGCAAATTGTAGCCTCTTTTTCCTATTTGTAGTGGAGATGAGTGGTACCCGGTGGGGTCTTCTGCTGTTGTAGCCCATCTGCCTCAAGGTTGTGCGTGTTGTGGCTTCACAAATGCTTTGCTGCATACCTCGGTTGTAACGAGTGGTTATTTCAGTCAAAGTTGCTCTTCTATCAGCTTAAATCAGTCAGCCCATTCTCCTCTGACCTCGAGCATCAACAAGGCATTTTCGCCCACAGGACTGCCGCATACTGGATGTTTTTCCCTTTTCACAACATTCTTTGTAAACCCTAGAAATGGTTGAGCGTGAAAATCCCAGTAACTGAGCAGATTGTAAAATACTCAGACCGGCCCGTCTGGCACCAACAACCATGCCACGCTCAAAATTGCTTAAATCACCTTTCTTTCCCATTCTGACATTCAGTTTGGAGTTCAGGAGATTGTCTTGACCAGGACCACACCCCTAAATGCATTGAAGCAACTGCCATGTGATTGGTTGATTAGATAATAGCATTAATGAGAAATTGAACAGGTGTTCCTAATAATCCTTTAGGTGAGTGTATATATACAGTATATATATATATATGGGGGAAGCAGGAGTCATGTGAATTTTACATGTAAATAATATTGTAATGTTTTGATATGTGATATTGCTCCTTTCATTAATATACAGTACTATATCCCAATACTCATCACATGTAGTTCTCAACTGGTGGGTCATAGATGTAGACTTTAGAGTAAGACTTCAAATGACAATTTATACAAACATTTTTTTTAATTAGCCTATAATATTATAAAATATTATTTATATAATTAAAATACTACAATTTATAAGCAGATGTCAAAACCATCCGTCCAATCCAATCATATTTTGACACTGAGAAGCTAGCCAAATTAGTCAGCTTCCAACATGGACAGGCTGAAAATTTTTCCAGATCCATTAGACTGGGTACTGCTTTGGGTTGCCACTTGATGTCCAATATAAAATCGCAAAACCAATGCTCTGTACTACTTTTTCCATTAGTAATGCTAAAAAAAAAAAAAAAAAAAAAAAAAACTCATAATGTCATAAAATCATAATGATTGAGCTCTAATTAGGAAGGAAGTGCTGAGTGTGTGAAGGGAGATGCCTGCTGACTTGACTAGGAGTGGAGGGAGGCTCTGGAACCTGCAGTCCACAGGCAGTAATACTAGATGAATGGAGGACTGCCGCTGGCCTCCGCAACCCCATGGCGAGAGCTGCACCCACCCTGCCAAAAAGCAAAGGTCATGCATCAGGAGAGCCAGGTGGTGCAGCACTCATGCAATGCCAAAATCCAACACGATAGAGCAGGACTGGGAACGTAACAGAGGACGCACTGATCAACGCTCTGCAGTTTGTTGCTAATTATGTAAAGCAATTGTTCAAAATCCCTTTTGAATAGATCTCTTGATGTGGAAGAGCATGTGTTACTGCAGCTGCACTGTAGTAAAGAGCGTCATTTTCTTTACTACAGTGCCCCCCCCCCCCCCCCCCCCCCCCCCCACACAGTTCAAAGAATATTTCTATATTTCACTTTGACTCAAAGAATGTGTACATGGGCCTGGATGTTTTAATCCTGCATGACACTTTATGCTCTTATATAAACATGTTATGCCATCCATGTAATGGAGCTACAAAGCAATGTCTTACCTGTAACCATATCCAAATTTGACAATTTTAATATTTTGCCTGGTCATTAGGGACCGAAACATCATTTGGTTCTCGCATGTGTATATTCTTTTGTCGATGCAGACAAAACGCAGTCCAAAAAAATACTCTGACTCTGTATCCTGCACTACTGTTTAGCATCGACGCAACACCGCCAGTCAAGTCACATTTATTTAAATACAGCAACGCTTTATACAATACAGATTGTTTCAAAGCAGCTTCACTGCATGCAAAACCCTAACGCTCAAAATAAATACCGGTAATTGTTTTGAGTATAGGTAAACTTAAATTAAACAAATTAACTTTTAATTAAGAGATTTTCTAAGAGAGTATTTAGAACTTTCTTTTTCTTTTGAGTTCACAAAACTGACACATTTGAAGTAATCTGAGTTGTTTCATTGTTTTGAGTTTTATAAACTTGTTCCTTTTAATTTAGAGAAACTTACATTTTTACTGAAACTGGGCTGGTATTTCTATTTTTATTTTATTTTTTGCCAACTTATTTGCCAACTTAATGACAATAGTGTCATTATTCAGCTCAAGTCAATTCAGTGTTGATTCAGTTCAGTTCAATAACTGTAAAGTTCATCAATTATGAGTTCAATTCAGCTATAAGTAGCTCTATAGAAGACAATGGTGTTGTTATTCAGCTTGGGTCAGTTGTTGATTCAATTCAGTTCAATAGCAGTGTCAATGTTGCAAAATCCGTCAATTATTAAACAAAGTCGATTCAGCTATAAAGTGAGTGAATCTACAATGAGACCATGTGTGATGCAGCATATTTCAGTGAATCAAAAGCATACAAGCCAACAGGCCAGCTCAATTCCAGAAAAAATTAATTTGATTCACGAACGAAAGACGTGTTGGTTCTTTTTTATTGAATCAAACCCTACAAGACTATCCGAAACATATCGTCTGAGCAATTAAGTAGCATTTTTTGGGACCATATAGTAGGACTATGAAAATTTGAAATTACTATTGGATTGCATTTGCCAGCTTTATTAATTATTAAACGTATCCGATGTTTGATATTTTCCTGCTGTTCCTTGCATTTATCTATATTGCTGACATGTCAGTTATGACTTAAATAAACAAATACTCTATTTATAAAAATTAAAAGCATATTATAAAGATCTTAATCGTGTTATGCCCATACTTGGTAAGAATCGAAGCTATAGGTGTAAACACTGAAGCCATCATTTATTCTCATTGTAAACCAGCATTACAAGTTTATTGACTGGCTTGTATAAAAAGAGTGCAGAGGAAAGAGAATTTAAGATGGTCAAAGTCAATATAACGCCACTCAAGCACATGATGATGGCGGATGTTAGGGATGACCATCTTTCTCACCCCATTTCTATTGTATGGTAGCCCTCAAGGTTAAATCAATTACATTTCCTTTCAAACATGACGAGAGGGATATGACTGAGTATAATGGTTGAGCAATAGAGGGCATGTGGAGGGGGGACCTCATTTCTTTCCACTATAGTTGAAAAAGATGAAGAGAACCCAAGCAGAGTGCCAGTCGCATTACAGAGTAGCACCTCTTCTCCATCTGTTTCTGTAACACATTGAGCAGAACATTACTATTAGCCACTAGATTAGTTTAGTTTAGTTTAGCACACTAAGCTCCACTGCAGCGAGCCAGCCACTCATTCTACTGCAGCTACCGCATTATGTGGCCATGAATAAATAAAATAGAGAGTAGACATCAGACCAGCAGGGAAAATAGCATTCACACTCTGTGTTCTCCTCCCT